AACTATGGAGGTGAGGAAAGATAAAGAAAGCAGAGTGAATGTTTGAAAAGGAAGAGAGAAACGCCTGCAATGGGGCGGAAAGAATGTGGGCGAGTAGTGAAGCAGGAAACTCCCAATTTCCGAAGAAAACAGATGGAAGAAAGGGAAAGAATACGAGGAGGGAAAGAAGCAGAATGCGACACCGTCCAATGCAAAACAATGTTGTGGGTGAGAACTAGAAAAACACGTAATGGGAATGAGAATGAGCTCAGGTTGATATCAGGTAAGGGAAGGAAGGAACCTAATTGCGATGGCAATCGCTTTTAAAAAAGAGAATGGGAAAAATGGCACGAGTCAATGATTAACAGGAAAGCAAAAAGAAATGGATATATAGACAATTAAAGGGGAAGAGTAGTAATAGACAAGACGAAAAAAGAAACAAAAGCATGAGCGTACTGTATGACTTTTCAATATCGGGTTTTTGCGAAAAAGAACCCGCTTCTGTGGCCTGCAAAACACGCACACGAGCACAAACGCCGAAGAGTAAAAAGTAAAGTAGTCCCCCCAATTCCGAGCCTTTCTATAATATAATGCCCCCCAGGGAGAACCCAAACCGACCGACCGACCAACCCGACCAACCAGCGAGCGAGCGGACCGAGTAACGAAGCAACGAGGGAAAAGCCCAACTTACCCAATACCGAAAAGAAATATGTTTTCCTATAACTGGATGCAATGTGCAGTTATCCCAAGCTATATCTGCCTCGACCAATAACACTAGTCTCGGCGTTCTTCTGTTGTTCCATGGGCGCCATATTTCTCATCTGTTTCTCCGCCCACTCCGCCCGATTCTTCCAGATTTTGGTCTCCTCCTGGGCCTCACGCAACATCTGGTTTAGGGTACCCGCGCCCGCCCTGTGTTGTAGGATGTCTAGTTCCTTCCGGGCGGCATTGACTTCCTCAGTCTTAACCTCTACGAGTCTTTGCAGTCGCCTGATCTCGGCGTAAAGTGTGGAATTGTTCCGTGGTGCCTTCTTCCCTGGGGAGGGAGAATCTGCACTTCTCCAGATGCTTCGGTCCTCGATGTCACTTTCGGTAGACGCTCGAGGTCGCCGATTGGGCGTGGCGGGTTGCAATGGAGCATTTTGGATCCGGACGGGGGATTCGGGGGGTGCGGGAGACCGTGGCACGGTGGCACGGGGTGGTAAATGCTGCGCAGGGGTCTTCGAAGTAAGTTTGACATCAACCTTCGAGTTTGGTCGTGTCAGAGTCAGAGTAGGGCTAACAGGGGGATGTTCGATCAAGGGTTTGTCTTCAAAGATCGAAAAGGCTGGCACTACCTTAGGCTTCGTCTTATTCTTGATATTCAAAGGCTTAGGAGTTGTGTCATCTAGACTGAACTCCGAAGGGTCGAACAACTGGCTAGTCTTGGGCGTGAAAGACAATTCTGGAATTTCAGCACCCAACTTAGGAGCACTCGATCTCGGTTCTGACGGTTTCCGCTCCTCCTTCGCTGGATTTACCGGCCTTAGTTCCTCGGGGGACTCCAACGAGGTCTCCCCGACCACTGGTTCGCCCGAAAAGAATGCTAGTCGGAACCTGGTGGCAGCTTGTGCCGCAATCTCAAGCCCAGGAGAGGAAGCTCTCGAGCTTTCGTGTGAAGCATGGTGGGAGACTACATCCTCATTATCCTCCACTTGTATAGTAGCAGAACTTGATCTTGTAATTGTTGCAGGCATGCTATATCTATGAGTTCCTTTCTTGTTCCTGATTGGTGTATCAGGAGCGATAATTCTCCAATTCGGCGATGATTCCAGCGATTGGGGCGATACTTCAGGCACAGGGCTCATGTTCTTAGGAGCAATGGGAGTGCTGAAAACATCATCTTTTTCCAGAGAACTGTGTTCTGAAAACTGCATCAAATCATCGACAGGTGATTTACTGAGAGGTGGTGCTTGAGGCAGTGCCTGGGTTGGTGTTTGGGAGTTATGTTGGCGCACTGACCCAAACTCAAAGGGTATCCTGCCACGCTTCGGTGCCTTTCCTTTCTTACGTAGGGATGATGTCCCGAACCCACGAAAAGACGGTATGCTCGAATTTCTCTCCTGAGTTTTGGAACGGGTGTCTGCAGCAATCTGCGAGGCGGTCTCTGCAACGACCTCTGGCCTAGTCGCTGAAAGATCGTACGACTTAGCGGTGATACCCAAAGCATCAATCTTTTTTAATTGATAACAGATATCTTCCCAACTATTGATTAACATCTCACAGACCAAAGCGGCGCGCTTCGTCTTTTCCATCTGTATCTTCGTATAAGCGCTGTTGTGTCTGCCCGTATATTTGCTGAGTTTTGGGGTCGCGGTTGCTGTTGGCACAAGCTTCGGGGGAACAGGTGGTCCGCCTCTATCTTCGGTCTCTGATATAAGGATCTGGTCTGATTTATCACCTAATAGAAGGGGTCCAAATATTATGCTCAAGGCATCCTCCTTCATGGTCGTAAATGTCACATGTGGATCCCTGAGCCTAGGTTCCATATCAAAGTCGGACGCAAGGCTCACAGCACGCAGCAGCCCAAAGACCGCACAGATCAGAGAAATCCGGAAATGAAGATTGGTTGACGCCAAGGCCAATGCAATCATTCGAGGCTTGACCTTGCGTGAAATGTGGTCTCCAAGTGAGGGGTCAGGAAAAACAAAGGAGTGGATATTGTACAATGCCTGGAAAACGGCAGGAGAGCCAAGAAGCCCGCCAGGGAGGCAATAGAGTAGCTTCTTGAGGAGATGAGTGACATCGTGGACATTGTACCGAATATGGCTTGGGAGTTTGGCCAATGATGTGGTTTGAACAACCGGTTCATTGTTATTCTCCTCGAATTGCTTCTGGTAGTAGTCATACAATGCATATGTCGTGGTAGGGTTTCCAGGTACTCTGAACAAACCAGGCGTTTTAAGCCCTGTGATGTTCACACGTTAACCAAGTTTGCAGCTTCACTGGCGGGAAGAGCCTACCATAGTTCAAAATGAAAGCAGCAGCGGCATGCATGCAGGTCGGTATTCGGACATCCCCAGGGGTTAATTCTGGTGGTAGGACAAATGGTGTAACTCCGCCCAATCGAACGAAATCCTCTAAATGCATTCCTTTCAGGGTGTCCCTTTTCCCTCGCCCTATCGCCGCGAGCTCACTGATGCCACTCCCTCTCCTACGGCTAAGGGACAGCTTCATGCTGCCGTGGTGCTTAGAAACATCAACATTGGCAGATGCCCGGCGCATCAATCTATTCCATAACTTGTTTCCGGTCAGCGGGGGAGTGTTAGCCTCCTCAGGAGGGGCTCTATCCTGCGAGGTATTGGAAACAGATACGGCCCTGGGCTCCTCCGCATGGTATTCTGGGAAGGGTTGGATTCCATGTTTTCTGGCCAGTTTATCGAATTGCTTCGTGAAGATATCAGTGCTCCGCTCCGTGACAGTTCCACCGACAGACTCTGCGAACAAACGATGGCCCATTCCACTCCATGCCGAGCTGACGGTCTGACGTTTTGACATTGTGTTTGCCGAGGGATAGTACGATGAATTGACAGTACTCCTCCCAATTGTTTGCTCTCTATCAACATTCAAGGGGAATAGGCCAATTGCCCTCATTGATCGAGGCTGTGTCCGGACTGAAGTTTTAGGGCCCCTGAGAGACGAATCGCCTCCAAGAAGTTGAGAAGCAATCCCCAGATCAAACGGATCGTCTTGGAGTTCCTTCAAAACACTGGAATTTCGGGAGATTGAAGCAGGAAGGGCATTGCTCCCCGAAACTTCCTTTGACACCGAGGGCTCGTAACCACTGCCTGAGAAGGCAGCGAGCGAGGGACGGGAACGGGAAGACCGGTTCCGTCGAGCGAGCTTTGAGGTGTCTTGCATATTTTAATTTCTTCCTCAAGCGTGATGTAAGGTACCTGTCCAACAACGCTGTTAGCTTGCGCAGCAGGTCTGAGATGAAAAAAAATCATTTCATACTTGGTTTTCCTTGCTAGTGCATGTAACAAAGCCCGTGATTCATAAAGATTATTGGCGTCCGACTCAGAAAGGGTTCAAAGGAAAGTACACGAAAGACAAACGGGCAGACAGGAATTGAGAACAAAAAAAAAAAAAACACCCAAATCTCAGCCACAACAGTGTATTACACGGATGTTTGCTCGAGATGACGGAAAACAGAAGGAGAGAAGGAGGTGAAGTTTTCCACCAGACATCTTGTTGGCAGACACTTAGATTTATTGGAGCCGTGCGTGGGCGCGTGGGAGACGGGAAAGCAACACAGGCCAAAACAAACAAGATGCACGTAGCAACCAAATCTGCGGGGGACTGTGCAGCTCCCATTTGCCCCACCTGGGCTGACCAGGCTGCATTTTCCTACCACAAAAGGCTCCCCAATCAAATGCTGGTATGAGCGTTCAAGAGCATCCTGGCTGTGGGATCCCTGCACTGAAATTATATCCATGTCTGAAACTTTATGATAATACAGTAATATGGGATGTTTGGGAGGTTATGTTCTTGGCAAGAATTCATCTACTCGAGTACTGACGTGTCGACAGATGATAAACAAAAACATTCGAAAGAAAAAGAAAAAAAAGGAAAAAAAAATATTACGGTATCTATCCCTTGCCCGACACTGGCAATGGTCACCCCCATCCATCATAATTTATCAGTCCTTCTGGCCGACACACAACAAAAAAGTTCCAACCTCCCTATGGTGCTGAGCAGTCATCTTCATACCATTCACCATCCCTTTTCATTCCACTCTTTGTACATTTGAGAAGCTTTTCGCACTTCCAGACTAGGAATGGCAGGTGGAAGAATCCTATGAGAGCATGTTTCCCCTCCAGCAACTGTGGAAAAACACGATACAACAAGAATACAAGCGGACGCAGGGTGCCAACACGTACATGAGTGGGGCAAATGAAAGGCATCAGATGAAAAGGTCGCTACAACCCGTGTAATCTCAACACTAAAAACCGGAAAGGCCTAATGACCGCAAAGGGGTAGAGAGGTGTAAAGCGGATAGGTATTAGAGCAAGAAAACTCGAAGGAAAAAGTAACGGGGAAAGGGAAAGGTAAGGTACAAATTACAACTGCCCCGAGTGCTCCTGACCAGAATGAGATAAAGCTACTAAAAACAGATATAGATATAAAAAAAAAATGAATAGCCATTCCCGTTGAAACCCCGTATGCTTGTGAATAAAGTGATGCCTCAAACCCTGAACATGAACAGCAAAGCTCGAGGTCTTTTTTTTTTTTTTTTTTGTTTTTGAGTGTGGCAATTTAGCACCCATCTTGTGAATCTCCAACGCTCGACCGGAAAACACCATATTGCAAAAATCAAGAAAACTCGTGACCCATAAACCTGCTCAACACGACTTAGTGATACAGACGTATTGACACCTGTAGAATAAGCGCGCAGACGCAAAGAGAATCGATGTCAATATCCCAACGAACGCCCATCAAAAATCCAGTCAAACGATGAACCCAGTAACACTGAGGTTCGCCCGGTATCCTCCATTTACTGAGCCTTCCCGAAAGTACCACTCCCCCCACTCAATAAATCCGCAGAACGCCGGGCCAACGCAACAACCTCCCCTTCTCCATCATCCCCTTCGTCATCAGAGTCGATATTCTTATCCGCGATATTTCTAATCATTGTGACGATCTCGGTGGATTGGCCGATAAGATTCTTTAACCGGGTATCATCGGCTTCCAAGAGTTGGAGTAAAGTCCAAATAGCGATGTGTTGGAAAGTTGGGTCTCCACTGGCAAGGAATCTCTTCAAGTAGCCATGAATACCACCTTCTGGCTCCAGCCAATCCTGTACAAACATCGAATAATCGCCAACTAGAGAAGTATGTCAGCAATGTCAAGGCAGGATTTCTAAGCGAATGCTCGCATTACCTTTCGAGGAGAGATTTCCTAATGCGGCCGCACTATTTCCTTGAACCTCAATGCTTTCTGATGCTGTAAGGGGGATTAGTACATCGAATACTCCCAGGTTCAGCAGATGGGACTTGAGGTCGTCGCTCAAGGCCAACACGGCGATCGCCGCTGTCATTTCTGATTGGACGCTCAGGGGAACACCAAGAACCAATTGTTTGCATTTTTGTACCGCCCCCGCTTCCAACACCAACTCCTTGTTTTTGTCAGAACTAGCAGCCAAATTTCGCAAAGTCGATATCGCATGACATTGGATCTCCTCATTTTCCGTTGACCCAAGTAAATCCACCAACGGCCTTAGGAATCCTGCCTCGATAATTGGGGATTCATTGAGCGGATGTATCGATATATTCCGGATGCAGGCAACGGCGGAGAGGATGAGGGGAAGAAACGAGGACTGGAGGAGACGGAGAAGGGGCAGAAGGCCCTTGGCACGGACGATGTCAAGCTGATATTTTTCGTCGGACGCTAGATTACGGAGTGCCAATGCAGCCTGACACTGCACTTTTGGGCTCGACGAATCCATGAGGTGAACCAGGGAGAAGACTAGTTTAGGTTCATTTGATGCCAATTTTTTCCGATTAGCCTGGTCGACGGCAATATTACTGAGAGCTGTTGTGCAGTAGTACTGAACATCCACATCCCCCGAAGACAGCAAGGATACCAGGACGGGAATAGCACCCGCGTTGACCAGCTGCTGTCGATTATCGTCTAGATTGTTCTTAGCAAGGACGATCCCACCGCAGATTGGAATGTCAGACCAGCATACCTGAATGTGTCATGTTTAACAAAGCCCCCGTTGCATTCCGTTGAACCCGCATATCCTTGGATTTAGCAAGTCTTGTCAATGGTCCCAGAGCACCTGACGTAGCAATTTTGGCTTTGTTATCCTCATGAGTGGCGAGATTCGTGATGCATCCCACCGCATTACACTGAACCTCGACGTTCGGCGACATCATTTGTCGTATCAACGGCGCAAGACCGCCGAGTAGGACTATTGCAACCTTGTTTTCAGCTACATCAGGGTTAGTACTCCGTAATAGATCAAAGCTGTGGCTAAAGGACACGGACTGTTGACGGCGAGGTTTCCTAGGGCAGCGCTAGCTGCACGTTGTACCTCGATATCTGAACTCTGAAGAAGGAAAAGTATTGGCTCAAGTGTATCACGGTCCACCTCCCGAACGTCTAACACGGGCCTAATTAGCAATCTGAACGAATAGGCAAGCCCGCACGTGGATACAAGGCTTCTACCTCTCTCTGTGATTTCCGCAAACGTTAAACTAGCGCTACGTTGAAGATCGACATTATCCGAATACACGAGCGTGCTCAATGCCTGAAGGGGTTCCCCGGTGAAAAAGTCAACCTCGGAACGCTAAAACCAACGTTAGCATCTACTCGTACCAAGAAAGAGGGTCAAGTATAGGTAGATGCAAGGGGTCGAGAAAGTTTACATTTTCGAGGTATTGCAGGAGATCCGAGACTGCCTCTCTCTCGCTCTCCTGAAGCACTGGCTCATATAGACCGTCCCGAGTGCGGCCTATGTCACGTCAGAACATCAAAAAACACGCACTCGCATACTCATACAAAATCAGCGTCGGAAATATATCTGGGGAGAATACCTCTGCAGCAGGTGGAGCATGAGGAGCCGCAGTTCCCCATGGCGAGGCTATGCGTAACTTGACGATGAAGTTAGTGTTTTCTTTTAGATGGAATGAGTACACGTTCTAAAGAGAAGGAAGGAGGGAGGCCGAAGAGTACAGTACACACAGGACGACAGAATGTGTCGCTGCTGACGGAAGGAATCGGAAACGGTGATTCTGTGAGCGGAGAGCAACGGACGGAGGAGGATTCTAAGAGCTGGCTGAGACGGGGAGGGGGGGTGTTACGGAGGGGAGAACAGCTCCTTTCGTTTGGTGGTTGGCGAGAAGGGGACGAGAGAAAGCCGTCGCACGTAGCAACCGAGCAGCCGCGCGCCACGTCTAGTTGGTCAGACAACAATAGCAATGTGTGCGATAAGGGGGGGACAAAGACTTTATGGAACAGAGGGCAAGGCTTTCGTTGTGGTACGGTGGGATTAGGTCTGGAGAATTACAGTATGAGACGACGATAAAAAAAAAAAATTTCTCGAGGAGGAGAGAGAGGACTTGTTCCCCTGACGCTCGGGGTTGATCCGTTGCGAGACCTCCAAGTGCCTACCACACTTTGGGCTGTGCAGAACGTGGCGCGACTCGGAGGGCATTTCTGTGATTGGGAATGGAGTGCCAAGTGCCCAGATTGCTAAGCGGGTCACCGCACTCGGTAGTTTTATACTGTACTTGTATGGTGCGAATACCGTACCAGTTCTCGAGCAGTCTGCCCGACATCTGGGCATGCGGGCGGAGGAGGGAAAGGCACCACAAGCAGGCTTCCAACTTTCCCACGGGTGGGATGGTGGAGGGGCCATCCTTTACCCACCCACCAAAACCTGGCTCTGCGCTACCCGCCCCAAGTGACCTCATTCTATTTATCCGTTCCTCCTCGGATTTAGGGTAAATAACAGAAGAAGCCCAACGTACTCGCTAAGAACCAGAATAATTGAACCCTATGTAGAGTAGACTACAGTAGTCTATGCTACATATCATATCAAAATAGGACGCTGGAGCTGCCTCTCCCAGCGTCATATCATACCAGCACTGTATACGTACGGTACAAATATAGTATGATACCTCACTTGTACCTTCCGTATTAACCATCTCCGTCAGGTCGCTAATCTCGTGAGTCAGAAGGATCAGAGCTTTCATGGCACGGTACCGATAGCCCGAGTCCGCTGCCTTGTGTTTGGATCTCATTAACTGGGGTTCACAATTAGATTAACCTGCCAAGCCAAACCTCTCCTGGACAATTGCCGCGATTTACAAGTACAGGGATGCTAGCAACCCTACGAATACGGTAGTGAATCGCAAGAGTTATTCAGGGGGTCTGTACGAGTACTCGTACAAGTTACTTGTAGTATTTTTATTTTTATTTTTATCTCTATCCATCTCATCGGTGGGCTGAAATTCGTTTTTCTTCTCCCACCTTTATCCGAAGAGGGGAATTCTGGACGTCTTATCGTGAGGTCCAATCATAATACGGTATCATAGTCCCCATGACAATACGCTCCCGACCCAAGAAATCAGAAAAAGGTAACTTTTCAAATATTTTCCGTGAGTGGTGCATAACAAAGCACTTTTGAATATCATATGTCACGACGGCTGTGCTGCGTGAAGGCTGGGCTCTCTCCTCTCTCTCTCTCGCTCACTCTGGGAGTCGTGTTATCGGCCCACACACTCTACACACTCTAGGCATACTATCATATCATACCTGTATCGCTTCGCAGTAAGCGCAGGATAAGTTATGCGCGAGCACTTTTCTGTCAAAGAGGGAAATCATAGTCGCACAGGATACCGACCGGTACACTCATCATCTGCGCAGCCCGCCCTTCCCCCCCTTGGCCGTCACGAGTACTCGCGCCGATGGAGAAGGAATACTCGAGTACTCGTACTCGTACTGTATTATACCATAATGAATATCGGTATGCGGCAACAGGGCTCTGCGGTGACCGAGCAGCAAGCGGGCCTGACGTTAGACTATCAGACAGGCTATCCTAGCCACGAACGCATATAGTAAGCTTGGTATAACCGCAGCACACCCTCACCAACAACTATGATAGCAACGCTCCATCGTTTAACATACGGCATATCACATACTACGGCACTGTACCGGTATTGCACCATCTCCTCCTACCATTTAAATCGGCTGTGTCCTTTTACCCCTTTAACTCGTAGTATTAACTAGACGATAATTTAACTCTATCATACCCAACCATGTGAGGCTGACGGCACACTGTATTCGACTTAGTAATGCCTGCGAGGAATCGGCGTACTAAAATTTTCAGGCAAACAGGCTTCGAGTCACCGGGAGGAGGCACCCCCCATTATTTTATATTGCGCCCATACCCCGCCATGATCTGAAAACTTCATCACCCACCATCACCACATTTCCTTGTTTTCACCGTTCACGTTCGCATCCAAACCCTTTGAGACATTGCTCTAGCCTTTGGACTACACCGCCTTTACCTCCCGCCCTCAATCAAGTAGTTATTACGCAGTGCGAAATCATGGGTGTAAGTCGCCTTTCTAGCCTTTCTCTGACAGTACCCGTGCGCCCGAGTTGAAGCCGGACACCCAAGGTGGCGGTCCCCACACGAGGTGTCCCCCCCTTCCACTCGGCCGCGTGAGTACATAAAAACTGGCCCGCCATCCCTTCCTTCCCTCGTTCCAACATTTCCACAAAAGCACCCCACTATTGGCCAATACAGACCCTCTCGCCCACCAGGCCTTCCATTAGCCCAATTTCTTCTTTACTACAAGAGTCATGGCTTACAATTACGATTATGATTACACCCAGCTCGCAAGCAAAATGGCAGCTGCCCAAACACAGGGTGCCCCACCTCCTGGTGGTGCCCCTCCATACCAACAACCATATGGCCAACCGGCACAGCAACCGGGGCAATACCCCGGATATCCCCCGGCCGGTGCTTCCCCCCAAGGCCCGGCTTATGCTCAACAGCAATATCAACCTTATGTAACTTCATCCTCTTGTATCTACTTCTCCCTCATTCTCCTACTTACTACTTATCCCGCTTCGGCAGCAAGGATATCCACCCCAAGGTCAACCTCCGCATGGACAACCTCCCTATGGTCAGGCTCCTTATGCCGGTGCTCCTCCATATGGACAAAGTCCAGCACCAGGTTACGGAGCTCCACCTTCAGGCCCTCCTCCAGATGCCAATATTCTTTTGAGCATTCTCAGGGAAGCAGTAAAGGAAAAAGGTATCGAGAACATGTACCCGGAAAACAGGCTTGTCGGCATTGCAAATGACATGGCCAAGAAGGACCCCGTCAATGCCTTATGTAATCATTGGAAATTGCCGAAGGAGATTGGGTTCGACTTTGTCAAGCTTGCCTTGTTCGACGTCGTCTTTCTGTTGGATGACAGCGGTTCTATGCGCTTTGGTGAGGGCCTCATTGACGAATTAAAGTTTATTCTCTCCAACGTTGCTTTTGCTACTGGGCTCTTCGACCAGGATGGATTTTCCGTACGATTTATGAACTCCAACGTACAAGGGGACAATATCAGGACCGAACAACAGGCGGCCGCTCTTGTTGACCAAGTGAGATTTGAGGATGTAACACCCTTAGCTACCTCGTTGAAGAACAAGATCCTGGATCAATTCATCTACGGGCAAGAACAACGGAATAGTCTAAAAAAACCTGTCCTCGTTATCATTATCACCGATGGCAGGGTAAATACCCTCACCTAAGAACTGATTGAATAAAATCACAACTGACATTGTGGTAGCCCACCGATAATGTCCACGGAGAATTTCAACAATACATCCAGTCGGTTTCTTCTCATTTCCGCGGGAAAGGGGGTGAGAAGATCCTCGTCCTCGTATCTTTGGGTTAGCTAACAACCATCTCTTCTCAAGTTGTATCGTTCCAGATTGCCCAAGTTGGGAACGACAAAGGAGCCCAACAGTTCCTCTCAGAATTAGATAACGATAAGGCTATTGGAGGGCTCATCGATTGCACATCCAGTCAGTAAATCAAATGTGACTCCTCAGCATACAACTGCTAATGGTGATAGATTTCGAGCTTGAATCTATGGAATTCAGGAAGAAAGGTGTCGAGTTGACAAAACACCTCTGGTACACTAAGTTGCTCCTTGGGAGTATCGATCGCAGTGTACGCACCTTACTATTGGAAGAAGAAAAGGCATCATATTAACCTATAAATTAGTATGACAGCAAAGACGAAGATAAGAAAGCAGCCAACCCCCCAGGAGCCCCTGGATCGGCGGGTTATCCGGCTCCCGGAGGTGCCCAGCCATACGGCCAACCTCCAGGAGCATATGGCCAACCTCCAGCAGGAAAGCCGGGACAGTATCCACCACAACAGCCCTATGGTGCTCCTGCTGCACAGCAGTACGGAGGAGGCTATCAGCACCCACAAGGACCGCAACCTGGTTATGGAGCACCTCATGGTGCTTCACCCCCAGCACCTGCATATGGTCAGGCACCATATGGTCAACAGCCCGGCTATCCACCCCAGGGCCAACAAGGATATCCACCTCAGGGCGGATACGGAGGGCCAGCGCCGCCATCGCAATACAACCCGAACGCCGCATACGGAGTCCCTCACAAGAAATAAGAGAATGCGCTTTCCCCTCACACTCGGCAGTTTTTTTGTGGAGCATTTTATTTATTTATTTTTTTCCCTCTTATTCGCGGTTTTAAGTTTTCAGTTCTCGGTTTGAAAAATTTCGGTTTGAGCATTATAAAAGCTAAGGTATTGTGCCACAGGCGCTTTGGGGAGGAGATGCGTTATTTCGTTAGTCTAGTACTTGCTGTGTTTAGCCATCAGATATGTTTACTTAGGGCCTCCAAATTACTAGGATTTCTTTCACTCTCTCCCACAGAAAATGCAACCTTTTGAATCCCATTGCGCGTCGTCAGGAACTCCTATTGCTAAAATAAAAACCTGTTTATTATCCTGCACCTTCTCTTTATCAAACAGGTTTTTTTCGCTTCAACCGGGTTGGCTGGTCCGGGCGGATAGAATTTGAAAATCGTCGAATTTGTGGTGCACGTTTGGAGTACCCGAACTACAGTACTAGTACTGTACACACAGTGCTGCACTTAGTTAGAGTGCCGCACCCCCCGATCTCGGTCGCAAGGCTGCATTGCATTGCATATCACACGCTCTCTTGGACCCAACCCCACGCATAACACATACCGGTGTGGGAGGTTTTGTTGTTTAATCCCTTAGTTGGATGGTGCGTTGACCAAGCATGCACCTTGTGGCTACAATTGCTCTGAGACCTGACCAATAAATCGATGGATAGAGGAATAGAAATTGACTTGGAATCCAATCGTAGTAAATAGACCAACACAGATGAAGCAGAGAGGTTGAAGCTGAACCTGATTTAGATAGGCACACACCGCTATCTAAGTGGTTGTTGTTGAGTGGTGATTGAGCTGTCTAACTAAGAAGACCAGCTCCTAGTTTAAATACAGGAAAGTATTCATACCAAGGCATGTACAAAGACAGGAAACTCCATGGGGTAAAACCTCACAGTTCTCAGACAATACCCTATCAACTTAATCTCCACTCCACACCGGTACCGTACAGTACGAAGCTGGTAACAAAAATCACCGGTAGGGGTGCATTTCACACCCGACATACCGGTAGCCATGTTGGCGGGGTCGTGACGCCACCTCTATTCCATCGATAGAAACCAAACTTTACCGCATACCCAAGAGGGCTCCCCGGGTCTTCTCTTCCAGCTCATAACAAATAAATATCTCATTTTCCGGGATGCCCACTTACCAAAGAGCAAAAGTGACATTGGGTCTTGGCGCTCTTTGTATGGGAAACTGCGGTTTCCTGGCCATTTTTCGAATGATCTTAGCTGCCAAAACATCAATTTGTCTTTGCTGAGCCCGAGTTTTTGTGCACGAAAAAGTCAGCATAGTTCCGAAAGCCGCGGTAGCATCCTTCGCACTCCTCCCTTGGGCACCATAACGGAAGGAAATTCGACTAACCTATTATACCTGAAGTGGGCCACTTTTGGTGTGGTACTTGTATAATACGCTTACACTACCGGTTGATTTTTGTTACCAGCTATGTACGGTACGTCTGCATACGCCATTGGAGGATGAGCGGACCACTAAGCGAGTGGTTGGATGGGGGGAATGATATAGTTTCGAGTGATGGTGGGTGATTTGGGAGAAGGGGGAAGTGCAATGTTCTGGCGGTTCCTGGCGTTCTATCATGCGGCGATGAGTGAGTGAGTGAGTGGCGGGGCAAGGTGGAGTGGAGGGTGGTTGGTGGCAGCGGTGATGGGTGCTGTTGGGATTAGATTCCGGTAGACTATGGTACTCGCGTACCGTAATCAGTGTGTTGGATGGGGAGGTACGGATGGTAATCAGAGCACTGCGCAGGTAACTGTGCGGTACTGTACACCGCATATAACTTTAACGATTGTAAGTCCTCGCTCGCCGTTTGAAACTTTATACCACATTATTATCCAAATAGACAATCTGTAAAGTGCTGTGCTCGCAAATATATGGGACAGGTAGTGCTAGAGGACATGATTCATAACCGAAATTTTCTCAAAAGAAAGAGAAAAACACAAAAAGTAAAAGAGAGACGAAACCAAGAGAATAATAGTTCTTGCCCTTCCTACCAATTGTTTTTTTTTTTTTGAAAAATTCACAAAACTCAACGTAAGCTTAGGGGAAAAGAAAGAAATATCATAATAGAAAAAAAAAGGAAGTTGAACGAGAAAGAACGAAAAATCTGGCCATTCATAATGGAACACCAGAAATCTCCCCCATTTCATGCGTTCTGTTGCTTGTAACTACCGTGAGGTGGTGTTTAGGTTAAGGAATAGGTGAATTGAGGAGTGGCATCAAGGGCCAGATCGTTTTTTTTTTGTGATGAAGAAACCAAGCCCTTGTGGGAGGTTATCATGATCCTTTTGATTTCCCCTGTTCATCTCGCTCTAGCGGGGTGTTTGTATCGTAGCCTAGGGACTTTACTATTCCGAGACCTTTTGTTCGGCCTTCCCTGAATAGGAGCTTGTCGCCGGCGCAGAGGAATTCCCTGCGGAGTGGATGAGAACGGAGGGTTTAAAAAGTGAATGAGAGCAATCATAAAGGGCTTACGGTCTCTGGCAGAATTCAAAAGCAACGGTAGCTCTATCACCAGTCCTCATGAGGTCTTTATTGATGTCGATAATTCGGCAAGTTTGACTGACAGGGCCGACATGCAACATGGCCTGATATTTCGGCTTTATGGTGGTTGCGTGGGATAGGATGAGGACTAAGGAATAATGCCAGAATATTAGATATCGTAGGTGCCAATGTGGGATGTGAGATGTAAAGTTATATCTAGTCCTGACCTTCCGCAACAAATCTTTGGTGCGCCTTTGGGGGGCTATCACTTCTTGGGAGAACAACCATCCCCTTTCTCACTTCTCTTCGTCGTACTTTTTTTAAGGCGAACGAAGCACTTTGACCAGCGGAGCAGACCGGGACTGCTATACGTTTCCGCTCAATAGACCTAATGGAGGTAGTGATAAAGTTCCCCAAACTGTCTGGGCCAATGAGTATCGGGTCACCGGCATGGATCACGCCGCTTTTAACGACTCCGGACACCACAGTACCAACGAATGGCACCGAAAAGCAGTCGTTAACATGGAACTCGAAGGAAGTATTGGTATCAAACTTTCCATGGAACGGCAAGATGTTCAGGAATGTGCGAATGTAATCTAAGCCTTCGCCGGTAACGTTTGAAACCTGGAAAACTGGACAGATCCTCTCACTGACAAATTGTTTCGCGGTGTTGACAACATCTGTTTTATCCTTGACGAAAATCGGTATTTTCCTTGCCCCAGGAGATTTCAGAATTTTGGTTATCTGGTCAATGGTTTGCTTGAGAATTTGTGGCGGGCAAATGTCGATTTTTGTTATCACAACCAGAACCGGAACATTCAACGCCAGCGCAATACCCAAATGCTCACGAGACATCCCAATCAGACCGTTATTCGCAGCCACCATCAGCATCACGTAATCCGGGGAAGTGCCCAAAAGGCCAAAGACGGTGGTACGGAGATATCTTTCATGACCGGCAAGATCGGTGAATGAGATAACTTTTGCAGAGCGATTCCCAATCTCCTCCCATTTGAGTTTCCGGCCGGGGTCGTTGCTCCCCACAATTTTGGACTCAGCGTCATACCCAAGGATTTCCATCCCTATGAAATTATGAGAAAGGAAATTTCGATGCAGAAAACAAGGGATTTTTACCTACGGAACTAGTTCTTCCTGACTCGATCTCATGCTTATGTCTGAAAAGATTGACACGAGTCTTACCTCGTCCGTCATCAAGTGTATTTTTTGTTAGGACCCCCAGCATAGTTGACTTCCCCGCATCAACTGGGATTTATATGGTCAATAACTTTAGCTCCAATTGAGAGAACTGTGTGATATCTACCATTTCCGACAACAGCCACCCTAATTTCCAACAGGCCTTCAAGTGACTCGGGCCTCTGACGTATTAGCACTGTAGATGTCACACCTTTTCCATCTGTTGGCTCTTCCCCATTCACACCAAGATTGCTTGTTATGAGCACCGTTACCGCCGCTCTAATCTCCGTAGCCGCAGCTTTAACCGCCTCAATTGCCTGCTCATATTCCTCCTTGGTGAACTCCATTGACTCGGCGCTGTTATTATCCACCCCGACCTCGAACAGCGTTTCCCCACGGCCCTCCTTTATTCTCGACAATAGAAGCTCCCGGAGCCGGGGACCATTGTCTTCACGAGGGCCCAAGAGGAGATCCTTGAGAGCTGAGCTCGGCTGTGAGTCATCCGCAAGCCCCAGAGATTCAATGATGTCAAGCTCATCGTGGTCTTCTGCGGCGTCACCAGCATCACCAGCAGTTGTCCCACCCGGCCTCCGAAGCTTCTGCTGCTGCTCGACATATTCTGCAAAGTCGCTTAGTGCAATTTCTCCTGCGCGCCGTCGATCGTGAGCTATCTGTTTATCTGCTCTAGCGGAAGTCGCCATGATAGTGGTGAGATGGGTTTCCAAGCTCTTAATAGGCCGAGGTAGTAATTGAGACGATTAGCAAGGTAGGTTATAAGTCCGCGGTATTCGTAGGATCATTTGCCTGTTATTCTGTAAGAAAAGCAGCGTGGTAAGTAAATAGGGGATTATTTGAATAGGCTTTCCATGGGAGAAACGTACCGTGATCAAGCTTTATAGCCACGAGGAAGGTTTCTCTGAGTCAAGGTCCGCAACTTTTGAGGTGACGCTAACCCCGCCTGAGTCACGGGTTGTCACCGGGGTTGCTTTCTTTTTTTTCCTCTCATCCCAGGTATGATAATTATGATACTTCCATTTTATCAAAAATTACCGTAGAGCTAGAAATGAGCCGGTTTGCTAGTGTAATCCTAGTTTCGTTTATAGTATCCTATTAAATCTTCATGTATTTTTTTTTTTTTTAGTTCCGTCGTTCCAATAATCAAAATAGTGAGATATGAGTGATTATCTATGACGATAAGTGCATGAGGATGATTAGATCATCATGGCACGTGATCTCTAGCTCGCGTTGAAGCGAAACGCGTCTGCTATGTTCTGAGTTTCAAGAAAAATTGACCAGTGCCGCCTCACCCTAGCAATCGCCACTCTTTTCCTTTCTTTGTTAGCGACAAAGAAAAGCGACAAGGGGAAACGACAAACAACAGAACAAACACAGGTGCTATGAAATCATCTATAACTCCGGTACCAAAGCGCCCTTTCGATTCCCCTACTTCAGAGCTGTCGTCCCCTCCAGAGGCTCCGTTACTACTACCTACTCAAAGTACGGAAAACTCGGTAAACACAGACAGCAATGATGGTTCTGGCTCCAAGTTTCGTCGGGAGTTCAAGGATATTGTAGGCGAAAAATTGTCTACAGATGTTTTGGGTCAGTTAGAGGAAGTTTCTGGAGGAGATATTCAGAGAGGTAAGCCAATATTCTCTCCTCAGTTTTTTTCTTCTTCTTTACCTTTTTGTTACTGATTAATGTTAACAAATCATCAATTGTAGCTATCAACATGTATGGGGCCCTTGAGACACTACTGCTAGCTTTCTTTACTGAGATACTTAGGTACTTTGACGGGTCTTGGAAAACAGGAGTTTCCAAGAGGCGGAAAGTATTTCACGATATGTCTATATCGGTAGCAGATACTGGTAGTTCGAAGCTGCCTAAAAATATTCCTTCCAAGATTTTTATTGGGCAGTTTGGTGCAGATGGTTGGGCTACTAAAAGCGGTACAAAGATGCTCTCCTTTGGTGATACCGTGAGAATTGAGCGGCAAAGAATGCGGATGGGAGAAAATGTACCAAGTGCTGGGGGAAAATCTAAAGGAAAGGCGTCCGCTGCAGAGAGTTCACAACAGGTCGGAGCAACAGGTAGCAAGTCTATACCACTGAGACAGCGCAAGACTCAGGATATTATCGTTCGATTTACAAACTCTAGGGGAGAGGAAATAGGCAGGCTCTCCCAAGATACGGCTAGTTTTATGTCAACTTTAATTGATCAGAGAATTGCATTCTTTGAGGGAATCTGCATCCATGCTGCGGAAAAGATCCGGACAAATGATACAATAGATTTGCAGCTTAACTGCTATTTGTTGAAGGAATCGTTTGAGAATAGCAGCTTTCGCCCTGCGGATACGAATCGAGTTGCGGATATTTTTGCTGCTAAAGAAACTCAAGACGAGAGAGTTTTAAGGTTAAGGCAAGTGGCATTGGTGAAGCTTTTTCAAAGGATGAATCTTGAACCCAAATCCACAAACCTGGTTACGCAAAAGCACAAAGCTGCGGGAATTCTCCAAGCTGCGGAAATTGCGGAGCAACACGAAATTACAAATATTAGTACAGCAAATAAAGCTCGTAAAACTGTTACAAGTAGCGCAGTTGATGAGTCTGGCGATGATGAGAACTCGGTTGTCGAAGGAAAGGAGTTGGAAGAAGATCAGCTCAATGCGCTTTATGGTTTGTTGCACCTTCAAATATATTTTCAGCCAAAATTACTAATTGGTTTTGTTTATTCTGTTTAGAGAAAGCGCAATCTTTCAATTCCGATACTCCAGAATCGGAGCCTGCTGACACTTTTGCAATGAGTTTACGTCGGTACCAGAAACAGGCCTTGCACTGGTTTCTGAGCAAAGAGAAAAGTACGGATTATCGCGCAAACGAGTCAATCCATCCTTTGTGGGAGGAATATGAATGGCCGAACACGGAGGAGGATCATAAAAGGGCTATTCGTGACTTGGGTCAAGATAAATTTTACGTTAATCCATATTCTGGAGAACTCTCTCTCAAATTTCCGAAGCAGGAACAGAATTGCTTGGGTGGTATACTCGCTGATGAGATGGGTTTAGGTAAAACGAGTAAGTTATACATACTCATACCAAATGATACGGGATACTAATAGTTATGCAGTCGAGATGTTAAGCTTAATACACACCCATCGTCCTGAGCCTTCGGGCCCTACCCTACCCCCGGCCAATAGTTTCGGCAGACTACAAAGACAGAGCGAAGGAGTAGTGTCAGCGCCGCTTACAACACTCGTTGTTGCCCCAATGAGCCTGCTAGCCCAGTGGGAGTCTGAGGCTGAAGTAGCTTCAAAACCTGGAACTTTAAAGACTTTGGTTTACTATGATTCACAGAAGAAGCAGAATCTCCAAACATTTTGTAATGCTTCAAATGCTGGAAACGTACCAAATCTTATTATAACCAGTTATGGAGTGGTACTTTCAGAGTTTGGCCAAGTGGTCGCTTCTGGCGGAAAGCGTGGAGCACATGGAGGTTTATTTTCTGTAAAATTTCTCCGCATCATACTTGATGAAGCGCATCATATCAAAAACAGGTAAGTATCATATTGCTAGTTTACAGTTTATCAAATAATACAATAATACTGACAATTAAAAGGACAAGTAAATCAGCAAAGGCTTGTTATGAGCTCAGTGCAGATCATCGTTGGGTCCTTACAGGAACGCCTATCGTCAATCGGTTAGAAGATCTTTTCAGTTTGGTAAGGTTTTTACGAGTTGAACCTTGGAGTAATTTTTCCTTCTGGAAAACGTTTATCACAGTACCCTTTGAAGAAAAAGACTTCATAAGAGCTCTTGACGTCGTACAAACAGTCTTAGAGCCGCTAGTTCTACGGAGAACAAAAGAGATGAAAACTCTTAATGGAGAGCCTCTTGTTCCTCTTCCTAAGAAAACAACCGAGATTGTATACATAAAGCTTTCCAAAGCGGAGCTCGATGTCTACAGGCATATTGAGGCTAGGGCAAGGAGCGATCTTGCTCGCAGTATTGAGGTAGGTATGACTTGTGTGTAAATAAAATAAAATAAAGTATATATGCTGACAGGTTATAGATGGGAACGGTTTTGAAGTCGTATACTAACATATTTGCACATGTTCTCCGACTTAGACAAGCTTGTTGTCATCCGATATTGATTAGAAAGAAAGAGATTGTCGATGATGAGATGATAGCTGAGGCTGAATATGATGCTGCTAAGGGGTTCAGTGATGATATGGACTTGAACGCTTTAATAGATCAGTATTCGGTTCAAGAAAATGATGCATTGCCTAATCTTTATGGTGCAAATGCTCTCAAAGAGATTAGAGATAATGTAGAAAACGAATGTCCCATGTGTCTATCGGATCCGATACCAGACCAAACTGTGACAGGCTGTTTACACGCGGCATGCAAAGGCTGTTGGGTTCAATTGATTGAGGTAAGTCTGGAATGGGTTTTGCTGAGTGGTAGGATAAGTATATGATTGCTAACATTTCGGTAGACCGCGAAGGCTAAGCAAGAACTGCCTAAATGCGTAAAGTGTCGTGAGCCAATCAATGAGCGGGATCTTTTTGAAGTTATAAGAAATGAATCTCCGGCCGAGGAAGTTGGTCAGCCTGAAAACTCTCAAGGTCAAGCCGATATAACTCTCCGCCGAATCAATTCTCGCTCGTCTGCAAAGGTCGAAATGCTCATTGAGAAATTGTCGGAGACTGAGAGATCTTGCCCGGAAAGAAAGAGTTGTGTTTTTTCCCAATTCACAACCTTCCTTGATATTATAGAAAAAGAACTGCAGAGGTACAGTAAACGAGGTGATATTGGTGCGAGTGATATACAGTAACAACACTGACGGGAAATCATAGGCGTCGAATCAAATTTCTCCGCTTTGATGGATCGATGTCGCAGCAGAAGCGCGCTGAAGTTGTTAGTACTTTCAAAATGGACCAGGGCCCTAATATTCTCCTTTTGAGCCTTAGGGCTGGTGGAGTAGGGCTCAACTTGACAACGGCAAGTCAAGTTTTCATGATGGACCCTTGGTGGAGCTTTGCCGTTGAAGCCCAAGCGATCGATAGAGTTCACAGAATGGGTCAAACCTCCGAGGTGATGGTGTATAGGTTTGTTGTTGAAGGCACTGTGGAGGAGAGAATAGTGCATACCATTCAAGCAAGGAAGAAGTTTATGTAAGAAACCCTGCTCCAAGTCAAGTTCTCACTTTCTTGCTAATATTTTCTTTGCTTCTGATAGCGCCTCCTCCCTAGGAATGATGAATGATGAAGAAAAGAAGAAAGCAAAAATGGAGGATATCAAGATTCTGCTTGGCAGATAAGTGATTGCGAGAGTGAAAAATAGGGTCTTGATATTTACTGGTTGGTATCATAGAAGGTCTTATAGGGTTCTGGGTTTAATTTCTGCTCTTTTTTTCTTTTCTTTTTCTTTTCTTATGCTAAGTGTAGGGTTGTGCCTGTACTCGAGTACCCAATCCACGCTGGTAATCGGGGCTATAGGCTGTGGACCTAATTGGCAACTCCTTTTTCTTTCGGAAACAGTTTACGACTTTTTACCTCAAAAGCAGTGGTATTCTCAATGGATAAGTGTTAACTCTATAGAATATTTTTAGCATAACACCATTGCTCCCTATCATACTCTGTAGAATAGGATGATTTACATGATGGCAGAATATGACAATTCATTAGCCGGGCTTTATTTCTATCCATAACTAGTGAATATGCAATACCATATTATATTCTCTCTGGGGTCTGGTTGAAACTTGGAACAAACGAGCTTATAAGCGGATGCTCCAGCCATTTCTCAAGCAAGTATGATGTCGTGATTTTGTGATAATATTATAATAGCAAAATACAATTAGGCATATGGTATCTTAGTAAATTTATTGTTTGTGGCGCTCGGGACTTTCACGGGAATATCCTGTATGCTAAAACTAAGCTTAAAATAATTAAGGGTTAGAGTATTATCCAATTACTAAATCATTATTATTCTGATCCTGGGCTAATTTCTGTCTACGAACATTTGGTTACACATTTGGTTACACTAGCTAATATCTCTATTCCTAATTTTTAGTTTAACTCAAAATATGTGGGATGTGCTACACTTGCTGTTCCCGTTGTTCCTGTTGTTGTATTTCTTTGTTTCCCTTTATCTGATGTCTATACAGTACTAGAAACATGCGGGTAGTTAACTGGGAGAAGCTCATCCATATGTTTATAAATAGTTGAACTCTTTACCCTCCGGTCGTTTTCTATCAAATTAGATAAAATTAAATATTTCCAAAGGCCGGGTAGTCTACGCCAATTGAAAGGTGGGATGGGCCGGCCCCAAGTATAGCTAGTATACGCTTGTACCGCTAGTGGGTAGGCCGGTATGGCTTGAGGTATAGTTGATAGCCCGCACTGGCTTATAAACCTTGATCTATATGGACTACCCTGGTGTAGGCGGGGTGGGCAGTCTGGGCTATGAATTCATTTTTACCTTTTTTCCCTACAACTTTCATTCCGAGACTAGGATCCGATTTTTCTATACCAAAAATGTAAACTACCTCTGCACTTAAGTGTACTAGGTATACTGATTAATGTATATTGCCAAAGTTTTATTAAGCACATATGTTAGTAAAAACTGATATTTACCTAAATTTTCATAATATTTAATACAGAAACCTATATTAGAAATATATTGGATAAATGTCAACCTTTTTTATATCTATAGTATCAGAAATTACTTCCAATAACTATTTATATCCTAAGTAGAGAGATTCTACTTTGGTGTAAATCAGTATTCAAAACAAAAATACTAAGATATAAGTACAAGGCCAGATGAACAACAAAGCTCAATCTTATAATAATTACAGGGTTTAGGTTGGCTGGTTTGTTGAATTATTAGTTCAAATTTATTAGAGATGTATTGGTAAAAACTAGGAATGTAGAAAAGAGAACAGTAAATCTTTCTTAGAGAAAAGTGTAAAATGCTGTAACACTTAAAATGATCAGATCACTGTTGGCAAATGTACCTATATTTAATATATAAAGTCTCTTTATATTTATTTATAGATTATTCTGACCTGATCGGGCTAGAATGATAGTGTTACTAATGAGTATAGAGATAAATACTATATGATAGAAGTAGATAAACTTGAGATCTCAGGCGGGGGGGTGCTAGTACTGGTTATACTACATTTGTATTTTTATAGGTTATTCGGCTTGCTGCTATAACTACTATTTTCTATATAGAGACCTCTGCTTTTTCTTCTTTTTTTTCCCTGGGATTCAGAATGTATCCGCCAAGGCTGTTGGCTGAAATAGCCTGCCTTGGCCTTTCATATGGCATACCAGCGGCCTGGCCTCCTCGAAACACTGTGGCCCGAATGAATGGCAATCAACTATATGACTGAGAAGCTCTAAGACCTATAACTATGGTAAGATATAAGATATGGCCCCATTGATGAGCTCTGCCTCTTCTGAATACTTGTGTTTTTATTGGAATTGTATTAATATCATACCCTATTATGTGTGTAATTCATTGAATATCATATGACTCATAATATAAGCTATCCTGCTCAATTAACACTTGCTCGAGTGGTCTTTTTTTTTTTTTTTTTTTTGTTACAGCTTCAAGTTGTACCTTTAATTAACTTCTCCCGCTTAGTTCTATTTCTTCATAGTCGGTCACTCATCTCTTTCCATAATACCATGTCATCGAATCTTTTTATTTTTCTAAAATTTAATATAAATGGCAAATAATAGCAAAGAAATGCTTGAAGACTACACTGAGATTGTCCCAGATAGGACCTCCCTTGCTAGGCATGATACCCGGAGCCGTTATTCTTAGGATATTTACCTGGTACAGTACTGTACACAGACCAATATACGGAATAAATTACTGACTTTCACAGTACCATTTTCCCAGCATTCTATATTATTATGGTAACAATAAGCTGCGAAGTGATCCCAAGTGGCTTCTGGCCATAGTTTTGAAATATGATATCTATATGCACAGGTCGAAATTATTCACAACTGCCAAAGCCCGGCAGTGTCCAGATAATGGCCCGGCCGAATCTTGCAGCAACCTAATTCAAAGCGGCCAGATACCCAAGCAAAGTCCTTAGATGAATAGGCCAGGGCTTTGGTTTTGAAAAGTTGCTTTCCAGAGAGAGTTAGTAGAACCTGATCGAGTGATTGAGTGTAGTGGATTATAATTGATTTTGTTGTAATATAATTGCTTTCATATTCGGATGGTGAAAGCAAGGACATCTCGATAAAGTGAATTTTGAAGGAAGGTGTGTTGAGGAATTAACAATAAAGTCTTGTTGAGGATATATTATCGAGTGTGCAGAGTAGACAGTGTTTATATCATACTAATAGATATCATATAATTACTAGGGCGTTTTATAGATAGATAGAGTGAAAGATCGTATGAAGAGGGCTCTGCTCGAGCATGACCCAATCATGTCCATCGATAAGTATGAGCAGCTAAGGGGAATTTGGGGGAGGTATAGAGATATGGAGTAATCAAGATGCCTTTGCGGTATCTTTCTGTGGGGTTTGATTAGAGCTGCGGACAGCGGAGCAATCGATGGTGCAGGTTGACCCCCAAATCACCACACTTTAAGTAAACTCCGAACGGTAATTGAGCAGACGCTCACTAGCTCTAATATACCTTTTACGGAATTATACGGGATTATGTTTTATATGCGCCTGCCCACTCTGTTAATTTAGTGAGTGCTGAAAAAGATAGTGAAGCCTTTGACCATAGCTTTCATACCGTCCCAACCAACACCAAAGCCCCCCAAACCGACTCCTCTCGTTCTACCACTATATAATTTAATAGCCACTTCAAGAAATAGCATATGAGACTTTGCTCCCCGGATAAGGTAACTCCAGTAACTCTTGCTGCTCCTGTTCCCGCACCTGTCCTCCATCAGAAAGTACCCGCTGCCCGGTAGGCCAGCAACCAAAGTCAGGGTAGTGTTTTGAATGGGATTACTTGTACCATGAGTCAGGGACATTGAAGTATCATACTGTTGGACTCCCTTTATTCACCCCTCTCTGGGTTACCTGAACTACAGGTTCTTGTCAGTGTCCTAGTTGATTTGTCTCGCTCATGTGAAGGTGTGGTTGCTGGTAAAACCACTATTATTTCCTCTAAACCAGGTTGGTTCTGAGCACCCGATGCCGGTCCTTTACTATTTCTTGGCTCTGCTACACATATGGAGAGTGCAGGTAGCTCCTTGGAATAATTTCTATAAGTTCACATGAGTTTTCGAAGTGCCCTCTTGCCGGTCTCAACAGTTCACCTTTTCAAAATGGGGGGGTTCACAAAGCTAAAGGATAGTGAGCTTTAAGCATGATGTTCATAGTTGCGCCAGCAGCTTTTCTCAAGGGGCTTTGTTATTGGGAGTAGTTTGGTGTTGGATTCGGCTGTAGAGAGGGTGGGTTTTGGACTCCCGGCGCTGTGCGGAAAGTATAATAGCGCCGGTATGGTGCCAGAAGAAAGAAGGGGAAGTGGTGACCCTCAGCTATGGAGTGGCTTGCGTGCAATTACTGAATCCCTCGTGGCTTTGAACTAGTGTTGTGCACGAGCCGAGCCGGCTCGAGTCCTTCGAGCCCGGGGGGGTCGCGAGCCCAGTGGACTCGAGTCTCTTGGCGGCTTTTCTCTTGGCGGCTCGAACCGGGGTTCACGAGCGGACTCGCGTCTCTTGGCGCTGTTGCCACTTCTCGTGGCCACAATACTTGGCGATTCATAAAGTATTCGGATACATTGGCGTCAAGATTCGTGCTTTTAGGTGTATACAATGACATTTTGGCGCAGAACCATCCCAATACTATATGAATTGCCAAGTAGAATTGAGCCTCTTGGCGGCTCGTGAACAACACTACTTTGAACTTCTAAATAGTCTACCGGTAGTTGACTACATTCTGCCAATTGTAGAAATCGATGCAGGGCGGTTACGCGTTTCCCCTCCGCGGCTTCTAGGATGACACTGGTGTGTACAGTACAGTACTTGCAGGGGCAAGCTTAGCACTACGACTCTTAGTCCATCTTGGACTTGGCGGTACTTTGGCTGGTTTATTCTCTTGGCCCGGGCAACCAAGACTCTTTGTAATCCCCCATATAACTCCCCAGACAGACTAGTGTGATGAGGATTGGCTTACCGGGGTGTAGTACCATTTGGACATATGCTCTTAGGTGGTTCTTTTCTTCTTTTGGAATATGAATGGTTGATGTAACTCCACTGCGACCTTCGATCCACCCCTCTTGTGTTCTTCCATTTGAAGATATTCAGTATGATACGATGAGTGCCTTCCAAGTTCTTCT